CGGAGACAGGCCGGGCGCAGGGCCGGCCAGGTGAGGCTGCACGCGGCCCGCGGCATGCCAGCCGAATGCCTCGCATGCCACCAACCCAGGCAGTGCCAACGCCGCACAGCGCTTCTCCGTGCCCAGCCCCAGGGCAGGAGCTGCCACGAAAGCGGCTGAAGGTAGAGAGGAAAAAAATACAGGAGATGTTTGAGAAACTCACAGCAAGGCGGCCAGCAATACCTCCTGCCCGGAGGCGCGTGGAGGGGGCTGCAGACCGCAGGAGGTTGTTCGCCGCGGCTATCCCGAGTCTGGTGGAGCTGGGACACAAACCAGCATCTCCAAGCGAGGGTGCCCATGGATGCAGGGAGGAGAGCACCAGCTCGGCATGGGGGCTGCGGAGCAGGGCAGGAGAGCACCTGGCCTCATCCAGCACGCTTCTGGGCCACGCGGGTCTAAAACCATGGAGAAGAGCAGGCAGTGGATGAGAAACGAGCCAGGCTCTGTTGCACATCCGAGCATGGCCAGCACGAACAGGGGGCTGGAGGGAGCTGGACTTGCAGAAGGGGCTGGCTGGCTCTCTGGACAGTCCCGTGGCCGGTACGGCAGTCAGCGCTTCCCAGCCCTCCCCAGCAAGCGCTGCGGGACACCGGGTTTAAATAGCTTTATTAGTGGAAGCTCTGCCTCCGCAGTCCCCACCGCAGGGGCCGTGGGGATGCCAGGCAGCCCCCAAGTGTCCCCTGGAGCACGAGGATTCACGGGGCAGAGAGCTGGGCTCCCCATACTGTCCCTGCCACCAGCCCAGCCTACCCTCCGGGGCGACCTGTCTGTGTCCTAGGGCCACGGCACAGCCCCGGTGCCCTCGGCATGGGGCTGAGGGCGGCCCCAAAAGCGTCCCTGGGGAGGCAGCGGCACGGCCAGGGCAGTCAGACGCAGAGGCTGAGCTCCTGGCGGACGGAGCACTTGCGGCACTGCACCACGCAGCACCAGTGGAAGCGGCACAGGCAGTTCTCCTCCAGCACCACGGTCTCCTCCCGGGGCCCCCGCCCCC